ACCTCTTGGTGATGACGGAACACGCGACACGATGGGTAGACGCCGTAGCAATCCCAGACCAACGTGCAAGAACCGTGACAGATGCAGTAGTTAGACACATTGTTGCAGACCACGGCGTACCGAAGACAATACTGACAGACCAAGGTCCCTGTTTCGAGAGTGAAGAGTTTACTTCCCGTTTGCAACAGCTGGGCATCAAGAGGATCAGAACGACCCCATACCATCCACAAACGAATGGCCTAACGGAGAGAAACAACCGTACACTGAAGGAGTGGCTGGCCTCGAAGGGCGGGAACTGGGAAACGGAGCTTCCACTGATTTTACTAACACATCGGCTACCACTCAGGAAACAACGAAGAAGTCACCCTTCCAACTGATGTATGGTAGAAAACCACGATTACCGGTACACAATGAGACCTGGCCCATGCACCAAAAGTGGAGTACGACGAAATTAAAAGCAGAGCGGAAAGAGGCAGTCAAGAATGTAATACGGAAGCAGCGCAGTGATGTCACGAAGTCTCAGATGAAAGAAAGGACGCAGTGCATTACCTTTGCAGTCGGGGACCAAGTGAAGTGTAGAGACAGGAGATATACAGTTGGATGTAGGCCAGGTTCACGGAAACTCCTTCCAAAGTGGGAAGGACCATACACAATCACAAAAAGACGGGGTCAAGTATATACCATCCGAAGAGGTGATAAACAGAAACGAGTTAACGCCAGTCAGCTCCAAAGATGGGTACAGTGGGACAAGCCGGTCAGTAACAATCCTCAACTAGAGGATGTAGCACCCAGAAGGTCGGAACGTCTGCGCACGAAGCTATTTGACGGGGGGACGAGTGTGGTGAGAGCAGGCTGCTAGCCAATTGGTAGGTGTTAATTAACGTCAACATCTAGGTCACTAATATTGGCCGTGAGAAAATATGAACAAGGCTGATTCAACAACCAATCACAGCAGACTTAACGTGGGCAAATATGATTAGCAAATAGATGGCCTCACTTTCCAAGAAACCCGAAAACAACCAATCAGAAGACTGTGTTTTTCTACTTGAATAAGCTATAATAATGTACAGGAAATATAATTAATTACGTGTTGATTTCCGTCATAAAAAGATCTGTTGCCTGGCCCTTATCTTCTATTGGTACACTATCAGGCTCTGTGTTGTACTTCTTTGGGTAAATCTATCGTCTTAAGATAACTTAAGCTGGATCGATTTAAACTTCAGTCTTTTACCAATCATAAAATGTGATCAAGATTTGACCGAACATTTCCACAATAACTGGGTGCCGAGTGAAAAGTAGACATATTTGTTATTATTATTACTATAATTTGTGCATAAATCATCCTTCCTTTTGTTTAAAAGGCATACGTCGACAAAAACAACTTCCTTCGTAGTACTACTAGAGCATCAGCTCGTTCCCCTTTTAAACTATTAATTCATCTTCTATTTTCTCTTTCTAGACAGAATCATATCCAACAAAACAAATAATGTTGAATTCCTTTAAAGCCATTAAGTGTAATCGGATGCATTGTTGTATTCACTTTCACTGCCTACACACAAATAAAAACGAAACACAAAGCAGAGATAATCAATATCTCAGGGAATGTTTTCGAAAAGGGATTCTAGTGAAATACGAACTCCTAATGTTTCGTTTATTTAACAAAACCAATTATGTAAGCGTTTTTTTCTTTTGAAATAATTATCTTCGAAGATAATAGAGTTTTTGAGAAAAAAAAATGTGAATTAGACATAAAAGTTATATTTACCCTAGTATAATTAACCCATACTGTACAGGGTATGTAAAAGGGAAATTATTTAAAAAGCAGTCTAACTACAATACTGATACCTATTGGGATGTTTCAACTAAATTTGCAGTTATTATCCACTTTTCGCCTAGACTGCATATCATCGTTTTGACTTTTGCATACATTGATTTCATTCATATTGTTTGTCTTTATAACTGTTAAATCTCTAATTTTACTGCTTCTCTTTATGGTTGTGTGAGAATATGTTGTTTTTATGACGTGATTTTTGTTTCAGTGAATCAAAGCCATTTTGACGTTGAACTGTCCACGGGAAGCGTTGAAGTGTCGTTCTCGGGGACACAATTTTGACCCCACCTCGTTGGTGATATTTTACATGACTCCAAGGTACTTCTTACAGTCTAATTTTGATTAAACAATTTCGTTCTTCACTACCTGTTTTGTACTTAAAAAATTATCTTGACTGTATAGCTGCCTAACTTAAATTTTTCATGTTATTTTTGTTGAATAGAACCACGCATATATTTATTATTACTATTATTGTTCCCTTGGGTTCCTAGTGGAACATACGGCTTCAACTGCACGTCTCCACTTGCTTCTCTCCTCTGCTGCACTTTTCACCTGCATCTATGTTAGTTAATACTGTTTCAACTCCTCTTCACACCATCTCCTCCATGTTGTCCTTGGACGTCCCACATGCCGCTTCCCTTTCGCCCTGATTCCACTCGAGCAATGGCCTGACGCGCGCGCGATGTCACCCAGCGGCGGCCTTCTCAGCGAGCGAGTATCCAATCCATCTCCACTTTCTCCTGCATATTTGTTGGTTGGAGATTGGTTCTTGTTTTGTTTTTACCCATAGTTTCTCGTTGGTGAGTGTTTCCGGCCCGGCCATCTGGTCTTCATTCAGTATAGAGCGAAGACAGTTAGCTGTTGATAAAGGTCTGCAATAGCCAGCCTGTTGGAAATATTCTTTGTGACCCGCCCGCCCGCCAAGTTTCTGATCCGTTCCATATAGAAGAAATGACTGACTTGACGTTGTTTGTATTGAAAATCCGACCGAATTTTGTTGATGATGCTGGCTGAGTGACGAAGATTTCCAGATTGGTTTCAGGTTGATGAATATGTTTCTCGCCTGCCTTCCCGATTCTTGCTCGATTTGACATCCTCGTCCGTTCCTCCGTTCCTGTAGTTGAGACACTGCTCCCTAGATAAGTGAATGAACTAACCTGTTTCAAATCCCTCCCATTGATGGTGGTTGGCGCTGGATGTTGCTGTTGTTGTTGGTTGGTTATTTTCATCCGCTCCGTCTTGTCTATGTTCACCTGGAGTCCTGTATTCACTGTCCGCTTCTTCGACCAGTTTGTCGGTTTTCGCTTGTAAGTCTTCGATTTTGTGTGACATCAAACATAAATCATCCACTCGCGAAATCCAGGTCTTCTAGGTTCTTCACGTCGGTCTAGGATATCCCTGCCTGCTCGTTTCCCACTGTCTGACACATAATCCAGTCAGTCCACCACAATTAGGAATGTCATCGTGGGTGATAATAAGCACCCTTGTCTGACTCCTGTGTTTACTCCAAACGCCTCGCTGAGTTTTCCGTTGTGGATCACTTGACATGGGCCGTTGTGTGATAATGTCTTGTTTTACAATGTGATTTTGTTTGAGTGAATCAAAGCCATTCTGGTGCCGAACTGTCCACGGGAAGCATTGGCATATGGTTTTTGTGGACAGAGTTTTAATCTCACCTTGTTGGTGATATTTTACTTGTCTCTAAGGTACTTCTTACAGTCTAATTTTGGTTTAGCAATTTTATTCTGCAGGACTTCTTTTGTATTTAAAAATATATCTGCCTAACGGTACTGTTCAGGTAATCTTAAGTTTTTCATGTTATTTTTGTTGAACGGAAGCACGCATATATTTGACCAAGAATAATCGCCTTTCTGCTGTCTTTGAAGCGTTTCATGACTTTGCATACCTCAAGGATTTCATGTCAGTTAGCCGGAGATTGATTTCCCTAGTCCACAAAACAACGAGTCGGTTTTGGTCGTAACAGAATATATGGTGACTACTGTATAAAACGTGAGTTCTACTTTTATAAATGTGAATCAGATACATTGGGGGTACAATTAGGCAGGTTCATCATGGTATTTCCGAACATCATCCAGCATGTTTAAGCAAGAAACAAACAAGATCTGTTCGTGTGTATTAATTTTCCTCTTTAATTATCACCCCACTGACATGCTGATACTAACTCATTATTGTTAAGAAACATAACGCCACTTGATTGGTAAATTGTTGTGTATTGTAATAAAAATTCTGAATATATTAAATTAGAGCCAGAGATGAGGATCTAATTGAAAAGTAAATATTTCTTCGCTCAATCTTTCTGTTTTCTAAATGTCTAAATGGGGATTTTTTCTATATTATCCAAGAGAGTCAAAGAACATTATCCCGCTTGGCTACGAAAAGGTAACAGTGGATCAATAAAGAATGTTATAACTGAACAAATAGTTAACACTGGTCACTTAATGTGCGAGGAGAATTCATTCAGTGTAATCTACAAAGTCAAAAGAAGCCTCCCGAAAAGCTGAGCTTCCGTATACCTTACATTGCCGAGGTCTTAGCTATCCGGCTAGAAAGCCCTTGCACACAGAGGAAACTTCTCTACCCGCTTCCTTCTACCTTGGGTATAATCCATGCCCTACTACTTTGTTTGTTTTAAATTTTTCTAAGACACCTTAGTGACATGTTCTGCTTAACCGACCGTTTATTTACAGTTTCTACCTATTACACAATTTATTTTTTGGACACTCGTCTCCATTAACATCCTATTTCATATTACGTAACGCTTGTCGATAATTGGAAATCTTCACACACACACCCCGCTAGTTACAATTTTGATCATCCATCACATTTTAGAAACATTTTGATGACGTAAACAGTGACCCTAACTAATTTTTATCTTATCTTATCTTCGTTAATTATCAACCCATTGACATTTTGACACTGTTTAATTATTGTTAACAAACTTATCGCCACTTGATTGGTAAATTGTTGTGCATTGTAATTAAAATGCTATACGTGTATATTAGAGTAGAGCCAGAGTGAGATGAGGATCTAATTGATAAGTAAATATTTCCTCACTCAATCTTTCTGTTTTCTAGATACAAAAAACACACAAGAATTCACAGCCTGCCAAAAGGTTTCTGACCTACAACTTGAAAAAAAAACGAATAAGTCACACACTTCAAACAGCCTTTTATTATTGCAATGCATGATACATGAATAAAGGTGAAAAGGAAATCTGAATTATAGCAAAATTTGAACCAGCCATCTTAAAAATGAGACGGAATATGTAAAGAAGGTACAAATTAATTACAACTCTTTTTTGCTAAAAATTTAATCGTGCATATCTGTGTTAATCCAATGGGTAAAACACAGGTTATTATAACAGAATATGAGACAATACTGCTAAGTATGTTTACTGAAATGATGATTTGTTGAGTACATGACACTTATGACAGATTAGAAAATGTTATCAAATCATAATTATGCTGTAGCATATACTTTTGAAACTCATCGCCTAAAAGAAAATTCATTTCATGCTCACGATCGTCTGATTGAGAAAATAAATCAGGACCTTCAGGATTTCCACAACCTGAAGTATTATGACCTACATCATTGTCAGTACAGCTAACTTTAAATCCTGGATGAACCATAAATTCTATACTTTCACAATTTTTTAATGGTGATAAACAACGATCCAGTGAATCGATTGATTGCCTTTTTCCCATTATAGCCATTTTAATGAAACCTTGAGTATATCTAAAATAAAACAAAATTCATTTTGTTAAGGTTTTCAGTTGCAATAATTGAAGCAACACACAGTTGCACATTTCAGACTAGCTAACGAATAACAGGCCATCAGACGAAATGTGCAGAACTCATATCTAATTCAAGAAAAGCATGAATAGATTTGACTAGAATCTTCAATTCTGACGAGACGTGGATTTGAACATTATTTATTTAATAATTTATGAACGACTCTGTGAGACTTTATTATCAATGAGGTAATAGAAGGGATCGATCCCCAGCCGAGGCACTCTTTTACTTAGCTAGGCCAGTAATAAGACTGGTAGAGAGGGAAGGTTGGGCATGATGTTAGCAATCCCACTCCCTAAAAATAAACACCACTACTATCGGAACCTCAGAGCTCTAACTTGAAGCCCTATGTCCAACTGGGAACGTAAAGGAATACAATAAAATAGTAATAATAATAGACAGGGTATCTACCTCAGAATAACAATGACAATTGTTTGATGTCATTTGAACTCTGATAACTGATTATACACAACAAGACAAGACAAAAATAGGGTATTATGATAAATCTCCTTGTCCACTGCATATTGTTCAATCATATAAGCAGGTGGTGAGTACTGCTTTTCTCTAATAGTTGATATTTTCTGTTTGTCCACCACATTTCTGTTCGAAATTTCGGGCTTTTAAGATATAAAACATTCTTTAAATTGATGTTCATAAATGCTATTTGACATTTAGATTGAACGATATAGTGTTGTGGAGATTCTTTACACTTTTTTTTCATAAATTATATTTATTTAGTTTTTTTTTAATAAGACGCCTTTCAGTTACAATAATATGTTCTGTGACCATTTTGTTCATTCGTATGCCACACTGAAATCAGTAACAAGCAGTCAGTAGTACTTTTGGCGAAATCATAAAAGTAATTATTGAACCTGAATACTGAACAATTATTTTATGCAACTTTTTCTTTGACGAGCTTGTTCATTGACAATATTTTTTCCAGAAGTTCATGACCTTTGCATGGTTTAAACTCTCTAAAATTATGCTTCTGTATATTTGAAACGAACTGCCCAGTAGTTGGGCTGTTGTGTCTAACTTTTCGGTACACTTGAGTGTTCAAAGTGAAGTTGGGATTTTGTTTGCTTGCTCACTTTCTGTCAATGTTTAACAGTTTTCCATTTACTCCAGAAAGACAACCTGTGGACGTAATTTGTGCTATTGTTCGAGAATAACCTTGAAGACAGTTTAAAACCTTTTGCTTATTAGTGACCCACACCACTGCACTCTCGTTATACAGTTTACCCATTTGTATTTCAACTCACTTAGCACCGCTTAAAATCATTAACTGCTTAACCAGCCAGCCATTTAGATTAGTGTTTCTGAAAAGGAGACTTTTTGGAGCTGAAAAAGTGTTACAAACAATAAGACACCCATAAGTTTGGCGGTTTAATAGTGGGATGCTCGTCAACTGCACACGTAGTCCACGTTCGGTTCCGGCGGTACTCACTCATAAACCTCGCTAGCCGGTAATAAGTCTGATAATGGATGAAGATTAAATACGAGACTAGCAACTCCAACTAGTAAAATAAACACCAATTCTTCTGAAATTTCAAAGCCTGAAACCCTATACTCCACTCGGAAACCGAAGGGATGAATAAAGCGGCAAACCATAAAGAGACATTGTGAAATCGCGACACCATAGTTTCGTTACTCGATTTCATGAATGTCGACTGAGAATTATCACAAAGAAAGTTTATCATTATTAACCTAAGCGATATAATGAATTTCTGCTTATGAAAACGTGTTTTTGCCACCGATCCGATTTCAATACACATTGAGGAAATTGAGCTGATAAGTCTCCACATATCTAAGAGATTATTAAAGCTATATAAGCCTTAACATTTCATATCTGGTTAATATCACCAAATTTCTTCAAGCATCAGCTATCAAAAATTATGAGGCTTTACCTCCACTTCCTCTTGCCAGTAAAGACTTTATCAACACTTTTCGAATGAGCTGATTGAGTGAGTGATTTTGAAAAAGACTGATAGGATTCGATAAAAAAAGTAAACGTGACAACACTGACACCGGCTACTTGTGTAGTTGACGACTTTGTAAAACTTTCTTATGATGTTTTGGTTAACGCAGTAGCTGAATTTATATTTTCTATGAAAAACCTAGAAAGTATCAAAATATTACCATACTGTTATTAGAGTAGCAGATCATATTGCAACAAAACTTGGTTATTCAAGTATTGGTTTGTAGGGATTTGGTTGATTGGTTACAGGATTTCACCATAAGCTGGAAATCTTGGGAGTTCTCGACAGTTGTTTCGTCCTAGTTTGGGACTCTTCAGCGGTACGCACCCACCGGAGTTCGAACTCAGGACCTTTTGGTTACAAAGCGAGCGAGCGAGCGAGCTCGTAGACCATTAAGCCACTGGTATCCGATCCAATGGCCAGCCCATGAATTCCTACTTCTGCCAATTCACGATATATATATATATATATATATATATATGCCATTACTTGAATATCAATTAGTTGCTTACTGGCGACTGGCCTTATTAAAGTAGGTAGTTACCTGGGGTTCTAGTGAGAAGTCGTGACCAGTAGGGTGCAGCAGGTAGGGTGTGAGGACAAATACTCACCGAAGACATTGGCTAGCGGTTTTGCTATGTTGTGAATTGGCAGAATTTAGAATTCATGGGCCTTTGGTTCGGGTCTCAGTGGCTTAATGGTCAACGAGCACGCCTTGTAACCAGAAAATCTTGGGTCCGGACCCTGAAGATGAGTGGACACACCTAAAGAGCTCCAAACTAGGACGATGCGGATGTCCAGTAATCCTAGGTTTTCTAGTGTTTCTCTAACCGATGTCAGCTCATGATGAAATCTTGTAACCAAAACTTAGTTATTTAGAAGTCAGATTTTTAATGATCTGATCAATTTCCCAGCAAATTTTGTAATGAGACAAAATCACTCCGAAAAAACCATTACAACCACAGAATTCTCAATATATGTGTTGTTTTAATTTGGAATTACGACTTCACGCATCAATAGCGTCAAAAAGGCTTGAGGCCTAGGACGTCAGTTTACCAGGAAAACATGTCAACGTTTAGACAAACGGTTTAACCCAGGAGCCCATTGCTTCTAAGATCTCAGTATCAATACACAGCTAATTATTCGGTAAACACTAGTGACAGTAACTGAGAAGTGGTATTTTTTGTGATCCAAGAAGTTAGGTGTCATCGGCGACAGTATATGACGGTGCTGTCGAAAAAAATTGGGAATAACGGGTCATTAAGTTGACAAATAGGTTGAATTCTTATCTGGGAAAATGGTGGTTAAGCGTCCGATTCTTGTGGAGTAGTAAGCGCATACTGTTGTAGAACATAAAACTAGGATTCAACAATCTCCAAATGCTTCTTCGGCTTAATAGTTCTTCAAACAATGTTGGTTCGTGCGGAGTCTACTTCGAAAATCTAGTTGTTTTCAAGGCATCTATAAGTACATCAACTCAGACAATTTTTTTTTTCATTTACAGCTTGATCCCACACTGTATTTTTGGTACAAGTATGGAATTTTCAGCATGGATATCGGTAGCCCAAATTTTGCAGGCCGACCATAGATATCAGGTGTTCGCCGGCAGGGAATCGAACCTCGGACCATGTACATGGTAGGCGGGGGTCCTAACTACTGTGCCACCGACGCACAATTAAAAAGGCGAACACTGGAATACAGAATCTAACTACACAATAACCGCGCAATTATACTAATGATAAAACAGTAGGTCAGTTGAATCGTCGATAAGCTTAGCGATTAAGACACTTAATTGATGTATTCTAACTGGAGTGAAATGAAGTTAAAAAACATCAAATATTCAATTTGTAAATACGTGTAAATACAGTAACAGTCACTAAAAAATTTGACAAGATATCAGATGGTTGGAGGCAATCAGCCACAGGAAGCCTTAGACCTAGATTTCGTGCTAGTTGGCACTCATCAGCAAGGCGTATCTACAACCTTGAAGGAACTCATGTCCTAACCCTCTGAGATTCGAACCTGCGTCACCCAGTGCCGCGTGCGGTCACAGACGTTACCACTGAGCTATTCAGGCTAGCGATTGACCTCCTGTAGGACTGTATTGGATATTTTTGATTTGACACTAGTAACTAGTGTGATGTGTCTAGTCCTCTCTTTGGTGCAGAGTGAATTCTGTCAGTCAGGTTGTAACAACAGAAGACTAAGGCCGGCACCTATCGTTTTATTACAGAAATCAGCACGCATTTATATATATTTCATGTACATTATTATAGCTTATTCAAGTAGACAAACGCAGATTTCTAATTGGTTGTTTCGGATTTCCTCGGAAAGTGGAGCCATCTATCTCCGAATCATATTTGCCCACGTTAAGTCTGCTGTTGAATCAGCCTTGTTCATATTTTCTCACGGCCAATATTAGTGACCCAGACATTGAGGTGGATTAATGTCTAGCAATTGGCTAGCAGCCTGCTCTCACCACAAGGTTGTAATGTGGCCCCCAAAGAGAGGACTAGATACATCACACTAGTTACTGACTAGTATCCAATCAAAAATATTCAATACAATCCTACAGGAGGTCGATTGTGAGCCTGAATAGCTCAGTGGTAACGTGTGTGACTGCACGCGGCAACGAGTGACGCGGGTTCGAATCTCAGAGGGGTGGGACATGATTTCCTTCAAGGTTGCAGATACGCCTTGCTGATGGGTGCCAACTAGCACGAAACCTAGGTCTAAGGCTTCCTGTGACCGATTACTTCCAACCATCTAATATCATCAAATCAATGCGCACTGTGATGGCGAGCCATCTAGAATGATGGCCACATTACAAACCTGACTGATAGAATTCAGTCTACACCAAAGAGAAGACTAGACACATCACACTAGTTACTAGTGTCAAATCAAAATTTTGTATGGAGGATTAAATCATGAGCTGGCATCAGTTAGAGAACCACTGGAAAACCTGCAGGGAGTACTGGACAGGCGTTTCGTCCTGGTTTGGGACTCCTCATTAGTACGCACCCACCGGGGTTCGAACCCAGGACCTTCTGGTTACAAGGCGAGCTCGTAGACCATTGAGCCACTGGGACCCGATCCAATGGTTCTTGAATTCTAACTTCTGCCAGTTCACGACATAGCGCGACCACTTTGCAATGTCTTCTTCGATGAGTTACTGCCTCATCTTCGACCTGCTGTACCCTACTGGTCACGGCTTCCCACTAGAACCCCAGGTTAACTGCCTGAATAGGGCCAGTCGCTAGTGAGCATCAGATTAATTTTCAGATGTTGGTTTTGTAGGGATTTGGTTTGATTGTATGGAGGATTTAATCATGAGCTGGCATCAGTGAACTGGCAGAAGTTAGAATTCAAGAACCATTGGATCGGGTCCCAGTGGCTCAATGGTCTACGAGCTCGCCTTGTAACCAGAAGGTCCTGGGTTCGAACCCCGGTGGGTGCGTACTAATGAGGAGTCCCAAACTAGGACGAAACAGCTGTCCAGTACTCCCTGCAGGTTTTCCAGTGGTTCTCTAACTGATGCCAGCTCATGATTAAATCCTCCATACAATCAAACCAAATCCCTACAAAACCAACATCTGAAAATCAAAATTTGATAAGAGTTTATTAAAGCACTCAAAAAGTTATTAATGATGGATGAAATTTATGCGACAGACCTACTTTAAACCATAAGATGAAAATATTTCTCTTGCCTTTGTCGCTTGATCAGAAACATTTTTATAGAATTCCGCCTCAGCTAAAGTATCAGTTAAACAACAACAACAAAACGTTGTATTAGTTGTGGAAGTTATTAGACAAAATTCAATTCATTTAAATGATTATTTCCAACTCATCAAGCTGGGAATTTATCATTTTGGTGAAGAAATAATGAAATTATGAATGAAGATAGGTTAATCGATATGTTCATAAACAGTTACTGTCTTAGGTGATTCAGACATAGGTTACATATTCATTATTATTATTTCCTTTAATTCCAAGAGGAACACATAGGGCTTCAGCTGTGCGTCTCCATTGCGTTCGGTCTTCTGCCAACGTTTTCACCCCCCCCCCACAATTCTGCCCACACGCTTCCATCTCCTCTTCACATGACCTCCACCAAGTCACCCTCTCACTGACGACCAACTCGCCGCTTCCCTTTCGGCCTGGTTCCACTCAAGCTGTGGCCTGTCGTGTCATGTTACTTGATGGGTTCCTCAGAGTATGGCCAGCCAATCCATCTCAATTTCTTCCTACCTACTTGTTGCACAATCGGTTCCTGGTCGGTTTACTCATTGCCAGAGATCCCTGTTGCTGATCTTTTCTGGCCGACCATCTGCTGATCTTCAGTATTGAGCGAAGAGAACTGTTAATGAAGGTCTGTAGTTTTTTTTGAGATGCTCTTCATGACGCGCCAAGTCTCTGATCCGTATAGTGAGTAGCACTGACTGACTTCTTATTGGAGTTGAAAATCCGGATGTTACTTTTGATGCTGAGCGCTGTTGATCTCCACACTGACTTGAGAGTGATGAAAGTTTGTCTTGCTTTCCCGATCTTTGCTTTGATATCCTCGTTAGTTCCGTTCGCCTGTAGTTAAAACAGTGCTTCCCAGGCGGGTAGGTAAAGGAGGTTGTTACTTTCAGGTTCTTCCCATTTATGCTGATTGAGTGGTCACAATATACCAAGAATTGTTGTTCTAAATGAAGCATCATTGAATTAGAAAAACGTTAGACTCTGTTCTATCAGTATGATGTTGAGTCTTCTGGAGAAGCGGAGGTTGTTATATTGTCGCGTTCGACTAGAAAAATGATTTTATTAGTAAACCTTGCAATGTCCTTCTAGGCATCTATAGAGCTTACTTTAAAATATAATGGCCTTGTGCAATTCACAATGAATGAAATAAACGTTTTTCTTTCTGATAAAAAATGGACTATGGCTGATTTCTGAAAGAGTTTCTATTATCATTGTATCCACTTGTAATAATAATGATAATACTGATAGTTTCGTTGAATCAGTTGTAGGCTGACCGAATAAGATTCACATTTTAAAAAATCAGTCACTGTACACCTTTAATGAAATAAGTGACTTCCTGAGTATAAACACAGAAAATTGCACAGAAGTCAATAAATTCATGTGACCACAAAATAAGTAATACACAAAGTGAGCGAAAAGAAAGGAAATAGTTATCACAACAGAATATAATATATAGCAATGTACAAGAGAAAGAATATTAAGATAGATAAAATATGAGAGTTTATTGGGTATAGGACATCACAAAAAGTGAGTGAATCTGCGCAACTAAGAATTATCTCCAGCCTTCATTGGCTTTGATCATCCTGAGAAATCCAACCAGAAAGTTTACACCTTCCGCCGTGGCTGGCTTGAACTCACTGTTATGCATTTCATTGGTTTGACCACCACTATCTCTTTTCCAACCTGATCCTATGTCATCTGACATTGCCTGATGAAGAAGGCGATGGTTTGGCATATGCAGCACGCATCCTAGCCATCTCAATCTATGTAGCTTCACGACTCCATCGATCGATTCGCCCTCCTTACCTAAAAATCTATGCCCAATGTTATTATTACTCGCCAGATTATACTATTTAACAAGGGAGATAGAATGCAACCATCTGTGATCGAAGACAGCCAGCTTTTTCGCATCTTCAAAATTCATTATCCAACAAAATCATCCACTTTTTTAAACTCGAAAAGATTATTAATATTTGCAATAATCTTCCACTCTTAAATTTATCTGTTTATCATTTTATCCTTTCTATAGCTTTTCTCTTCACTCTCGAGTGTTGGTTCCAAGTATGTGACATACTTGAAAAGAGATGCACTAGTGTGAAAGGTTCAACAATGATATATCTGTTTATTATTTAGCATTCTTTACTAGTCATAAATATTATTTTATAGAATTGTTGACCTCATAAACATCGAATAGACAGGGTAATTTTTTTGTTTTGTTTTTTTGTGGATAGATTGAATAACAATTTATTTATTAGTAGGAGAAAGTGTCTGTTATGAATAACTACTATTTTCTCTCGAGAAGTACACACAGAATGTATTGACGATCTCTATGATAAATGTCTTTATTATTATTATTATTATTATTATATCCTTTAATTCCTACAGTAACATAGGGCTTCAGCTGCGCGTCTCCATTGCCTTCTGTTTTCTGCCAACTTTTTCACTCCGCTCCAAGTCTGCCCATATGCTTTCATCTCCTTTTCAAATGACCTCCTCCAAGTCGCCCTCGCACTGACGTCCAAATCGCCGCTTCCCTTTCGGGTTCTACTCGAGGGCTTGTCTAGTGCGCGCTTTCCGATTAGTGCATTACGTTTTCGCTGATATATATATATATATATATATATATATATAACTCTCATTTCTTTGTTGGATCTCCTACTAAGTTCTGGAACTTATTACAATCTGTCTACTTTCGAACACTGAACCTGTTGATATAATATCACTGACTACTTATATCTATAACAAAGTATTTTTTTGACATTTTGTGACCTTTTAACACTAACTCATATCTGTAATTGTATATATTGTTGGATTTATATGTTCAGGTTGGTCCAAGTCAGTGAGTCTATCGCGTTGATATCATTTAAGTTAACTGTGCTTAACTGTATTGCATGTTGTTTTATTGTATTGTTGTTGTCGCTTTTTGCCTTTTTTTGCTGTGAATTACTTTCCTTTTGCTGGTGTTGTTCTGATTGTTTTGTTCATTGTTTTCCGATTTCAAGGGAACCAACCCAAAAGGTCGCTTCTCTCTAAACTTTATCTTAATGTAACAATTCCTTTCTCAGGCGTGAGGCTAGCAACCCCACCCTGTAAACAAAGTTGCTACAGAAACTTCAGCATGATAAATGTCTTTAATATAACGAAAATATTCATTCAGACATATAGAAAAAAAACTGAGCAAAGAATATCCTTTTCGACCACTTCCTCTTCTGGCTCTACAATTATATATATATATTGCTTTCGCTGACTTACACCATCTCTGGCGTAGGCGTGACATTCGGCCATCAACCAAGGGACGTGTGTACTGCTCAGCAGTTCGCTCCGTCCTTCTCTATGGCTCTGAAACATGGCCAATACGAGTTGAAGACATGAAAAGGTTGACTGCTTTCGATCATAGATGTCTGCGATCTCTGTCTCACGTTAGGTGGTTTAATAAGGTAAGTAATGCTGACGTTAGGCGTAGAGTGTTGGGCAAAGAGGGAAAATCAATCGACGAGGCTATAAAGTTACATAGATTGAGATGGCTAGGTCACGTGCTGCGCATACCTAACCATCGCCTCCCCCGACGGGCATTGTTAGCTGATATAGGTTCAGGTTGGAAAAGAGCCAGTGGTGGCCAAACAAAAACATGGCCTCATCAATCCATGAAATCCTTGACAGTTAAACTGAGTCAGGTAGGTGGGGAGATGCAGACTCCCGGGTTGGGGCCCTCGGGACTCTAGGAATCAATGGCTGGAGACAATAGGTGACATGGCTCAAAATCGTTGTCAATGGCCAGCGCAGATGTATTCAGTCTCTGTAATCTTTCATATTCCTTTCTACCATTACCCATTCTGTTTCACTCGTATACTTGTCAAACTCTATTGATTCTCTTCACTCATCTTCTTGTCTACCTCTGTGTGCTATTTGGAACGTGGCAACTGGAACTGCTGGACTTCGGTGCCAAGTTCTATGTTGAATCCAGACAGACAGAGACAGATATATATATATATATATATACATATATATATAATATTCTAGAATAATCGATAGATTTTTCGAGCACATCAACTCGAAGGTAGAGGCAGTTCAATTCACTTATGAATTGGAAATTCCAAAAAGGGAGCTCCCAATGTTAGATTGCAACGTAAAAAGGGAAGAGGATGGGAAGTTAAACACTAGTGTTTACAGGAATCCCACACATTCAAACAGATATTTGGACTTCCGATCATCCCATCCTTTGTCAGTGAAAATAGGATTGGTGAAATGTTTAAGTAATAGAGCACAAAAACTTAGTAGTACCAAGGAAAATCTAAGACGGAAAGTGAGGCATATAAGAGAAGCTTTGAAACTTAATAATTACCCTGATAAATTAGTCAGAAAGTATGTAGGTAAAGGTAAAAATAAAATAAATAATGGTAGTAGTGATAGTGAAAATAATAACAATAATAATAGTAATATTAATGACAACATGCATGTCAAACATGCACAAGATAATGACAACACCAACAATAAGGAATCCAAATGACCAGTAGTAATTCCATACAAGGAAGGAACCTTGGAAAACTTAAGGCGGAGAATTCTTAACAACACAGACAGGAATAAAAGTGGCTGGTATTCAAACCCATAAACTCAATTAGAAACAAGTTTTGTCGGTTAAAGGATCTTGTGGAGCCTTTAAAACAAAACAATTTAGTTTATCTAATACCCTGTCTACAATGTTTGTCAGGTCAAATACATACTTCAAAGTAGTAGAACAGGGGCAGTGAGACTAGCGGAGCACAAAACCCTAGCAGAAGCTAGATTGATTGACCCGAATAAAATAAAAAATCTGAAGAATAGTTCAGCTATAACACCACATGCAATTACACACAACAATACAATAGAATGGATGGGATCCGATGACAGTTTTAAAATCTAATGTAACAGGGTGAAGGCAGGGAGAGATTGATAATCGAAGTTTTGTTTATCGAATAAACTGCAAACACGTGTAATAAGAATGATTCAACGCCTGTTGACCCGGACATCTGGAAAATCCTACTACGCGTACGACGACGAATAAGAAAGAATAAAGACAACTATAAAACTTAAGTTTTGAAGTCGTGTGATTATAACTGATATGATTATGAACAACAATAAATTTTGTTCAAAACGTCATCCAGTGAATAATACTGTTTCACTCACTGTGTGATATATCTAATAAACAAACCACAGTGGAATTAATTACTACCACAATGCCCAAGTTTTACGCATATATTAATATTGGTGCTTTTTAAATACTATCGATTTGTTAAGTAAGAAGATCAATAAAATTACAGTTCAAGGAAGAAGCTCAAGTTGTAATAAGCACAAAAATGTCACAGGAAATAGAATATTAAATAAAATTAAGGAGATTCCCACAACAAATTGAGGATCACTAAAATCTTGAAGGCCAAGATAAGGACAGTGTGTGAACCAACCTCTTTTGGATACATAAGTTAGGTTAAGGTTAGAAGAACTGTTAATATCTTTGATAATAACATTCACGACTATATATATATATATATATATATATATATATATATATATATATATATATATATATATATATATATATATATATATATATATATATTGTAGAAGTAATTTATTATTCTCTATTGTTCCCCCTTAGTCTTTCCTGGGCTATTGAAGAAAGACTATACCTTATTACGTAGGATGTTAAAGGTTGTCAGCAGGTAAGCAGTTTGCCACTTAACCAGCTTGTTAATATTCTGGTGGACAGGCACATGGACTCATGTGAAAAATGGGCAAAAACCATTTTATCTGACTCACAACATCCTCTACATTCACAACTCTCCCCATGTATCTCTTCAGGGAAAACCAGAAGCCTATATATTAAACTATATGCCCGCACTAGCAAGTAGAAAAACTCATCCATACCCTACCTAGCTCGTGTTCTGTGAGATAAAGAAAGCATTAGGCGTGAAACCTTTAACTTATTAAATAGTCAGTAGAACAACTGGATCTCGTCTTTCGAAGTCACATCATTTACAGGTACAACGTTTTCTCTCTACCTTTTTTTTGTTGTGTTGTTTTGTTTCTCTTTTCCTTGCAAACTCTACTTAAAACATTCTTGTTCGTTCTTTCACACTCTGTATACCTCGACCATTTTGCTATCGCTTACGCCAGTAAATATGCTAGTAGTATCTACTTTTCTAACACCTTCAAACACTGTGTTTAAAATTTTGGCTTTGCTACCGACATGCTAATATGTTGTTGTCAAAACTGACTGAGATAACCTTAATCTATGTAGAATTATATTTATTGTTAATGTACTAACTGGATGCAATATTGTAGTAAAATGCTGAGAATTCCATTCTGTATCACAAGTACTGATTTGGAATAAAGCTTATCTCATCTTATTTCTTATTAAAATTTCATGACTTTCTAACGATACAACCAACATTTTACTACATGAATTACATGAAAACATCTACTTCACGGGAGTATTTCAAAATTTAAGCAGATTCTATGGGAATAAATTTTATTTCACCACGTTATCAATTTAAACACGCAATAACATATGTCATGTGTTTAGTGTATATTGTGTAAGCAGTCCTGACATGTTTTAAATCCTTTTTTTTTCTTCCTCTTCTCCACTCTCTGACTATATTTCTATCTTTGTATCCCTTCCTTTTAGATGCCAACGGTGTGACACATGTGACATCAAATAATAATAGAAAATAGCAGTATAAGTTGATTTCCATTACCTTTTGTCTCATACATCCACAACCTAAAGGAACTTGTTGAAGAAGTAGAAAGGTTATTACGTAATCCTATCATTTACGTTACAGCCACAAAAACACAAACAGTGGGAGTGGAATTTGTTAGACACAAAGTCGACAGTTATGAAATTAGAAAAAATGCGACAAATCATAGTATTCGTTGAAAGAAGCAAGTTCTATGAAACTTAACATGCATAAGTGTGTATAGATGGTATGGTTTAAGGTAATTTTCACCCGAATTTGTATGGAATAAATGACTAATGATTATGCGTTATGTAGCCAATTCCATCATTTATTAAAACTCACTCTTCTGATGACATTAGATGGTTGAAGGCAATCGGCCACAGGAAGCCTTGGACCCAGGTTTCGTGCTAGTTGGGACTTATCAGCAAGGCGTATCTGCAACTTCGAAGGAACTCATGTCCCACACCTCCAAAATTCGAACTCGCGTCACCCAGTACCACCTGCAGTCAGAGACGTTACCACTGAGCTATTCAGGCTCGCGATTGACCTCCTCCTGTAACACTGTAGTGGATATTTTGGTTGGATACTAGTAACTACTGTGATATGTCTAGTCCTTTCTTCGTTGTAGACTGAATTCTATCAGTTAGCTACAGTCCTACAAGAAGTCAATCACGAGCCAGAATAGCTCAGTGGTAACATCTCTGACTGTAGGCGGCACTGGGTGACGCGGGTTCGAATGTCAGAGAGGTGTGAAATGAGTTCCTTCGAGGTTGCATATACACCTTGTTGATGAGTACCAAATAGCAAGGAACCTAGGTCCTAGGCTTCCAGCCGATTGCCTTCAACCATGTAATATCATCAAATCAGTGTGCACCGTGATGGTGAGCTACCTAGAATGGTAGCAGCATTACAAAGCTGACTGATAGAATTCAGTCTGCAGAGAAGAAAGGACTAGACACATCACACTAGTTACTAGTGTTCAATCAAAAAACTTACTCTTCGTTTATATCTTTATGTGATTTTAATATTACTTCACATAGCTTATTTTATTATTTATTAACTTACTTAAAACACAAATTCAGTATAATAAATGAGGAACAAGTAATGCATCAAACAAAACAATAAAACCACAATATGAGGAGAAGAGGAAACAGAACATGTGGGTTACAACAGAATGAACAGAGAGGTAAGGATACCTGTCAAGATTATCCAAAAGCAACGTTCATTACTTTGTATATTTTTCAGAACGACAAGGAAGCAGAAACTTTCAGCATGTTCGTCAGCTTTTGCTTCTAATTAAGGCCATATATGATGATGCCTTGAGATTTTGTGTCTCATCATCTCGTCAAAGAGATATTAACATATTGGACAACCCTGTTTAATGCTGCTGTTGTCTGAAAATACTGATAAGAAGTGGTTGTGTGCCCACACTCTGCCTGGGGTATTCTTGTTTCAGGATACTGATAAACATTTGAGCGACACTCTTCTTTAGCGAATAGTCACACCCGCTTGGAAGACTGTTCAGCTGACACCATACTTCTTGATGCAGTTTGCTGAGATGTATTAGAACAACTTTCAATTATTGCCAAGTGTAGCTGCTGCTTCCATCACACACACACACACACACTTTCCGCCCATTAGTCTTCACGCTCATTGAGTAGGCATTGTCTTAGGCTAGTTATTATATTCAATATTCGTTGGACAGGAGCAAATAATTCTAAGAAGTTGTAGGGAACTCGTTATATATATATATATATATATATATATATATATAACTTAACCTAAAGTCCTACCTACTATTGATGATAAGTAAGTTCCTTAGATAACCAGGTAAAAGACACGAATAATTAAAGTTTCTAAATGGACAACAAAAATAATATAGCAAGCATACTTTCGGTTAAATGCGGAGAAACTTCAGGAATTCTTTCAACAGGGACACGTATCCATTTAACACCATTTCGAGAAAGCACTCTAGCCACAACTGCATCAATTCCTTAGAAAATTAAAATGTATACAAAAAAGAGGCGGTTCATAATTAGATACCTATTAATACGAAAAGTAACAGGATAGTGATAATTGCATTAAACTACATAGTACTAATTGATTGAGATAAGTAGTAGGTGCATACAACTTACATCTAGCAGTAGTATTTGGTAACCATACACAGAAGTGATCTAAACACTGAACGGTGATTTTGCTCGTTCGGAATAGAGCTCATCAGCCACCTACCCGATTTGAACTGCACCAGCTCTCCAAGCTGATTACAGACGGGATTTTACATAAGAAACAGTAGTGAAACAATCTTCTCAAACTGTTAAGTGCGAATTAGATTTAGTAATAACGGGTAAATCTACTCAGTAAGTAGAGGGAAATCAGTTAGAATACAAATGAAAGATATGGGAAATTACAATTAACGAATATGGGAATATCTTGCTCCTTTCCCACTTATGAGCAATTCTAATTAAGGACAACCTGTTTGTCAGTAACATAAAGTTTATGAATAATAGCCGTGTGACAGAGTTATTATTTCTGAAGAGCGCCTTAAAATCTGTTCAAATTATCTAATATCTTAAAAAAGTTAAATTTATTTTGTATTTAAAAATTATACTTCCCTCATAGACATGTGTAAACAGCTTATACTACTTATCTAGATAAAAGTATCAGAATTGTTGGTATTAGATGTGTTAGAGGCAATCGGCCACAGGAAGCCTTGGACATAGGTTTCGTGCTCTTCGGTACTGGTCACCAAAGCGTATCTGTAACCTCGAAGGAACTCATGTTCCACCCCTCTGAGATGCTGTCTGTCTGTTTTCGACATAGAATTTTGCACATATGTGAAGCAGTTCGAGTCGCCACACTCCATGTAGCTCACAAAGCAAGAGAAGAAAGTAGAACAAATGCATAATGCAGACAGTGAACAGAGATGTGATACAAAGGAATAGTAATAACGAAGAACAATATAGTTCCGTTGGAAATTTCAAGGAGTGGATGCAGCTGCGCCACTGAGAACAATTTTCAGCCAGCCATATCACCAATCGTCTCCAGCCTTCATTGGTTTTTACCGTCCCGAGGACTCCAACTATTCAGGAAGTCTACACCTTCCTACGTGGCTTAAACTAAGTGTTGTAGATTTCATTGACTGGTGAGGCCATGTTTTGGTTTGACCGCCGCTAGTTCTTTTCCAGCCTGACCCTATATCAGCTAACATTGCCCATTGTCGAGGGAGGCGATGACTAGGCATACGTAACACATGTCCTAACCATCTGTCAGTCGATATAATTTCACAACCACATCGATTGATTTCGCCTGCTCACCTAGAACTCGACGCCTAACCTCAAAATTTCTCACCTTGTTATACCACTTCACACGGGAGATAGAACGCAGGCACCTATGATCAAAGACCCGCGTCACTCAGCACTGCAGCTAGAGACGTTACCACTCAGCTATTCAGGCTCACGATTGACCTCCTGTAGAACTGTATTGGATATTTTGATTGGGCACTAGTGAGTAACTAGTGTAATGTGTCTAGTCCTACACCTTCGGTGCACAACTGAATTCTATCAGTTCTATTCAAAGTTTATATATAACACACAACCTAACTTATTTATGTATTCAAATATCATCATATTTATGAGACTATCTATGATGTAGACAAATAAATACTAAAATAAACGCAAACAAATATGCATCAGTAAACTGTTAAACTTTAAAGTGAAGTAAAATAAACAGCAGAGAGAGAGAGAGGAGAAAAAAGGAACAACTTAACGTATATTATTCGAGAGAAAATTTGACTCTTACAGAATTTTTCAAAAGAATGGTTATTGAACAGAGAATATTCTTTTCGATAACCCGCTCTTCATCGGGTTCTATCTACAGTTATATATATATATATACGTAATAGTGCATAACACAAATCTTTTCTTAAAAAAGATAAGCTACTTCTCACATTATAAGTAGCTAAAATGAATTTTAAAAAATCAACCGCAGTGACAAATGCTGTAGTCCACAAATTTTAACAGACGCTCACTGTTATGACGAAGTAATGAAATTAGTGTCTTAACTGTCATCAAAATCCTTACACAAAGATATCAGCTCACAGACTGTATAAAAATGTATTAGAACATCCTGAGTTGGTAAAAAATAAAGAAATATTAGAAAATGAAGCACAGTTTTTATAGGTCAGTGGACACCAAATGACAAAGATGACAAACTAAACTACGAAAAAAAGTAAATTGAAACTGTAAGAGCGAATTTCAATGAAATTTCGCAAACCTAGATACCAAAATGGGAGCGCTATCCATAATTTTTTCAAACAGGGAAGCATACTTTCCTACAATTTTGATACAGTAACACACGTTATTTAGAAATGACTGAGGATCAACACAGAACATTGGATAGAAGTGTAGAAGCCCAAGTTACCACTCTACATTTAGCACGAAAAGGTAGCAAAAGGAAAAAAACATTTGAAAGGACTACAATGAGCGTAAATGTAAGAGAGAAAGGATAGTAATGCGGGAAAACGTGACAGTTTAATGCAGGATCACAAAGAGTGAATAAATCTCAGCTAGTGAGGACAACTATGAGCCATATCAACAATACACTCAACCCACTGGTCCCTAAAAGCCAAACCAGGCAGGCTGCACTTTTCAGTATGTCTGCCTCAAACCAACTATAAAAGACCTCATGAAATGATGAGAGGTTTTGATTTGACTACTCCTAACTCTTTCCTAACCAAATCCGATATCAGATGACATTTTTCATTGAGAGAGGCATTCTGTCGGCATCCGCAACACGTGTCCTAGCCATCTGAATCCATGAAGCTTCACAACTTTATCGACTGATTTGCTTTCTCCACCTAACATTGTACGACTGATGTCAATATATGGCTCACCATATTACATCAGTTAACACTGGAGATAAAACGCAAACATGAAAGACAGCCAACCTTTTCATATCTTCCACATTAAGTAGTCATGTGTAACAGCCATGAAGGAGGACAGAGCAAACTGCTGCTGCATAGTGCACCCATCCTTTGATGGATCTTACGAACTAAATACCCAATTTCACGATTTCATCATGGGCTGACATTAGTTAGAGAACCATTGGAAAACCTGGGAGTACTGGACAGCTGTTTCGTCCTAGTTTGGGACTCTTCATCAGTACGCACCCACCGGGATTCGAACCCAGGACCTTCCGGTTACAAGGCGAGCTCGTATACCGGGTGCGTACTGTTGAAGAGTTCCAAACTATGACGAAACAGCTGTCCAGTACTCCCAGGTTTTCCAATGGTTCTCTAACTAATGTCAGCTCATGATGAAATCGTGAAACTAATCAAATCCCTACAAACCAACACTTAAATACCCAATTATATTCAGCACGAGCTAGTGCATGAAGCAAACACTGAATGCGATTCGTCGGCAGGAAACTCAGGCATATACATATTCATAAATAAATTTTCCAGGTAGACGATTGATGAATACTTTAGTGAGGGCATAATCTTGCCATCATAAAAACGTACTATTATTATGAACAGAAAAGGTGTATAACATGAAGTAACAAAGTATTCAAAAACGCAAAAAATAGATGATGAAAGTGGGTGAATTAGACAATAGATAAGTCTATATCTAAAAGACTCTCTACTCATACAAAGAGAATTAAACATCTGATGATTCCGCCGATCCTACGATTAGTCTACTATCTCACAAGTGAGAGTCCTTATAAAACTCTAAGCATGGAAAGAAGTGTATTTCTTCGACTTCTCCTGTTTCTACATACCATACAATCTAATTCTATTCCAATTGGAGAATAACTAGGTCTGTGCATGGGCTAATTCACTACTTTAAGCAATTATTATTTCCTTTAATTCCTAGAGGAACATGGGGCTTCAGCTGCGCGTCTCCATTGCGTTCGGTTTTATGTCAACGCTTTCACCCCGCTCCAAGTCTGCCGACATGCTTTCATCTCCTCTTCACATCACCTCCTCCAAGTCACCCTTGCATTGACGACCAACTCGTCGCTTCCCTTTCGGGTTCCACTCGAGTGATGGCTTGTCTAGTGATGTCACTTAATGGTTTCCTCAGAGTATGGGCAGTCAATCTATTTCCATTTCTCCCGGCATATTTGTTTCAGTCGGTTCCTGCTGGGTTGGTTCGCTCCCAGAGATCATTGTTCCTGATCTTTTCTGGCCATCTGATCTTGAGCGAAGTATTGAGCGAAGACAACTGTTGATGAAGGTCTAAAGTTTGTTTGAGGTGCACATTATGACGCGCCAAGTCTCTGATCCGTATAGTAAGTAGCACTGACTTTATATTGGAGTTCGAAATCCGGATGTTATATTTGATGCTGAGTGCTGTTGACCTCCACGCAGACTTGAGAGTAATAAAAGCTTACCTAGCTTTCCCGATTTTTGCATTGATACCCTTGTCAGTTCCGTCCTCCTGTAGTTGAAACGATGCTTCCCAGGTGGGTAGGTAACGGAGGTTGTTTCTTTCAAGTTCCTCCCATTTATGCTGGCTGATTGTTGTCTGTTGTTGTTGTTGCTGTTGCTATTGGCCAGGAATCTTCATCACCTGTGTTTTCTCTATATTCATATGAAGTAAGTCCTATCTTTGATGCTTCTTTTGCCAACTTGTTGCTTTTCACTTGCATTTAAGCAATAAATCATCAGAAATATTTTTTCATCATCCCAATCCTGAAGAAGTGTAAAGAATTACCGATGAAGATAAATATTTTAAGCCTTGTTTTGCATGCACACTGACGGTATTTTAAAAAAAGATGAATATCTGTACTATACACATATACGTTAAAGTTAGAAATAAAAGGAAAATCAGTCAATTGAAACCAAATTCTGCACACCTGGTAAAACATGAATATGCTGATGACCATCCAAATGACTGGGAACTGTACCAAAAAGTTGTTTAAATGCTTGCAACTGTGATTCCAGTTCTAATTCAACCTAAATTTTAATAAACTGTATAAGTAATACAGAAAAAGAAAATTGGATTTATTTGACAAAAAAAAAACGAACTTTGAGAACAAAACATAATGTGAACCCCGTGTGTAGGACGAATACAATACAATACAATAAAATGACTAATATTCTTAATAATTTGAAGTCACTAGTGTTTATATCCCGCTTTTCAGTTATTTCAGTAATAATTAACCACCTTATTGGTGACAAACTCAGTTTTTAGCTTGAAATGACAACCAAAAAAAACTGCAGGTGTTTTACACAATAATTATTTCCTAAGTATTTCTGGATTACACAGTCGGTTCACATTATAACTGAAATGTCTTCAAAGGTTATTCTATGAATAGTGAGATTCAATCAGCATAACCTATTAACTGCTCCAGAAACATACTAAAGAACTCTCTCAAGAGATCTACGGTTGTCACCTCCATAGAAGGGAATGGCTTATTTTAACTTGTAATTATATCTCATTGGTCTTTGAAGAAATCGATTATTTACTTCATAATGATCTGGCGTATTTCGCCTGCATGAATTGCAGACCCATTCCACCCACCAAGATTTAATAGGTCCCAGGAACCATCGCTCATCAAACCATAAACGTGGAGTAATGCTAAGGTCACTAACATACACATAGTTCTTGAATAAACGAGACAGCGGTGCACAGAATAACCTCAAATCTGAAGTCTCTGCAAAAAGCAGTAGAGTTTAGGCTAGTTAGTTAGTCAGTCAGAACTTGGTTACCTAAAAACGATCTTTCATATGACACCTTATGAGGGCTGAGTACACTACCGAGTTACTGAGGTTGAAGTATATGGAGCAAGAGTTTTAAATCCCAGAGACCCAATAACTGAAAATCCAGCCTGGATATACGTCTTGTCTTTTACTTAAGCATATTAATAACGAGACAATTTAAATGTTCCTATTATTATAGTCATAGAACATAATTTAAGCAAGTACACATTCCCGATGACGAGTTCACATCTCAGGCTTTATAACTACACAAAATACCTAGTCATAGAAATTTTAAACCATGTAGATCAGCAGAATCGAACATAATTAAGTAGAAATGTAACAACAGAAGACAAGGGCCAGACAACAGATCGCTTATCGAAAAAATCAAGGGATACTTATAAATTTTTATGTGCATTATTATTAGCGTTATTGTTAGCAGAGAGGCAACATCTTCTTTTTGGTTGTTTTCTTACTGAAGGTTATTCTGCACTGCTTATGACCGTTTCTCAGAAAGTTAAGCTTGCTGTGATTGGTTGGTGAGTTCCTCAGAATTATGCTTTGTTATTGCTTTTTCTCATGACCCCGACCCAAGATGTAGACATTGATGTAAATTGTTGTCTATAATTTTCGCTTGCAGACGGCTCTCACCATAGAATTACTGGTATCGAAACTTCGAAAAATAATAGCCAAAACATTCTTTGCAGCAACACAATGTTTAAAATTCATCACTCGTTGTATGATTCCAATGCAGGTGAAGGATTAGCTATCGAGTTTAGCCAAATCAGTATGCATTTGTAAATTTAACTTTTCTTGTGGAGACAGTTACACAAGCAGAACGACTTGTTAAGCTCACTGTCGCCTTCTTCACCATTGTTCAATGTGGTTAGGTAAACGAGTCGTAGGACCAATCAAGAGATTTATATTGCTACACCTCGTGGATATGGAGCAAAAGACTGATAAAAATTCAGCTCTTATTTTTTCTATACAAGGTGCTGCCTCATTTTCTTCAGCTTGCATATCTTCAGTGGAAATAAAAAATTTACTATTCAATGCCTAAGGTCGGGAAAAGTTTGTTCAATCCGTCTCTTTTTTCTAAGGCCTTCAACCCTAACCTACAGTACTTATCTCTCTTGGTTTCGCCAAACAACAGTAAATATTATGTTAATTGTATTCGTACTGCTAACTTTATTATCAATATCATACTATGTTATAGTTTTACATGTTTTGATCTTAGTTTCACAATCCACCACAATCATCTAATCGCTATGTGACAACAGTTATTTCACTCTCTACTTATTTGTATCTATTGATCCACATTGTTTCAAATGTCTATGGTTAATATTTTACTATGTAATTGTAAAGCCTTATGAGAATTTACCAAAAATATTTATTTGATTAAATCAAGTTCTATGTATGACGAAATGAGTGAAGTTGAAAAATTCATTTACGCCTTAGCTAGTGTGCGTCGGTGGCACAGTGGTTAGGACTCTCGCCGACCATCCACATGGTCCGGGGTTCGAGCCCACGCCGGCGCACACCTGATATCTATGGTCGGCCTGCAAAATTTGGGCTACCGATATCCATGCTGAAAATTCCATACTTGTACCAAAAATACAGTGTGGAATCAAGCTGTAAATCAAAAATCAAAAATCAATATGCATATTTCAATTGATAGATGATTGTGTAAACAAGCGAAACAGTTTTAAATTGAGGTGAAACACATATGAAGTGCTTTAAAAACTTCAGTAGTTTATTAAACAATCCTATCTCACGAAAAGAAGGGAATTATCTTTAGAAGCAACTTAGTTGGAGGAAAAGTACTTTAGGCAATTGACATATTAAGACTTCGAGACCAACTATAAATAGTCACAAACATCTTTGACCAAAAAAAAGTATTACATAAAAATACATAAGACCAACCTCATTCATATCCACTGCAGAAGACAATAAATGTTCTCTAAATCCATACTTGCCCAGAAAGCAATCACGATGGTCAAGCAGGCTTTGTACAGATCTTTTGTATTTTAAGGGTTTTCCTTCAGTTAAATTAAAATGTAAACCTATAAATTGTAAACGGTAAAAATACACAGAGAATAATTAATAGTTTCTTAATGTGTCCTTGCTATCATACCATTTCGGCAACAACAAACACATTCAAAATTGAAAATCATTATGAAACACAAGAAAAATGTTATTCTTTGGTTGGTCAAATTTAGCTCTGAGAAACATGCTGTAGCAATCATCACTGAACATTGGATGCTGACCCTCACTATTTAAGTCGACTTGTTTAGCTGAAGGCTTCCGGTCAAGCATCTACCCCATTCAGTAATCCGTTGTGTTATGTTTGTGCACGACCACTAACCAGGTAAGCAATCAGCTCGCATTCTGATTTGGTCCCGAAATATATCTTGTAATTTGGACGACAAACTCTGTTCTTTTGCTTTACCTTTGGTCCACAAGAAACGAATACTATAGAAGTTGTGGGTATTAAATCTTGGATTAGTATACTTCGTACTATTCGTGAACGTTAATACCGTCAGCCTCTAAAATGCTATAAAAAAGGCTACTAAGAATCAAAGGAAGCGTAAAGGCTGTCTACTTTAGCCTGGTAACATTTTATACAAAATCATCGGCCTCATACGAAATAGAGATCAACGCATTTAAAGCTTCTTAACATAAAAATCAAATTCCCTTAATGCCTTTGTCGCTTAAATACGTTTAACTCCAGACTAAAAGTATCTCCCTTACCACCCTAGATCTTACTTCAGCTTCCCCCAAAAATAATATTCAGAACTATAGGACAAGATACTGGCATTGAAAACAACACAAACTGATTGGTTGTCGGTCTGTTGAACTTCTAAACATAGCACACAATATATTCTGACTGGTCGGTTTCTGGACTCCTTGTTAAACGCAGTCAGCAAGATGTGATCAGTTATGCTCATACTCAAAAAACTTCCCACATACAAGGACTTTTGATCACTTCCAGTGGTTCGCCTCCATTAAAGAGTGCAAGTATTAGCTCTCATGACATCAGTCTACACTATAGAGAATGGTTACTAACCCAGTAATTCCGATTGAAACTGCATACTGAGACATTTTGAAAATTTTTTAAGGCATTTTCTATCTTAATTCCGCTGTCATTATTCCATCTTGCAATAAAAAATAGCATGCATAAACTACGCGATCTTTAAAATGAAATAGATGCCATGGCAAAGTGGGACTTATATCGAACTTATGTAATCATCTGGAAGCCTAAAAATATTAGTTAGGACTCAATAATCTAATGCATCTAATGAAGCTACTTAAAATATCAATCCCCAAAAATATCACCTGGAATGAGATTATTCTTCATAAGATACGAAAACAGTGCAGATAATTGTTTGCGTTGATAATCCAAAACCGAGAGTAGATGTCTTGCAACCGCACCGTTCATTAATACAGAGACATCTGACACCCCAGAGTTAATACCTGAAAGACAGGATACAATACCCTGGTCTCTAATATCTGAATAAAATCCATCATCCGCATTTATGACAATTTTGGTTCTTCTAAATGACTGGGGATGAGTTTCCATGGTAAATGGAGGTTCACAAAACCCAATGCAATCTACAAATAAGAATACATAATACATTTATACTAAAGGGAAATCATAATCAAATCCTGATTCATTTAAACTAGCTGATTATATAAGTATTTTTCTGGTTATCTTGGAAGTATTTTGGAACCAATTTCCCCTTACAGAATCTATGTAAACTTAAAATGAATGAATTCTAATCATATTTCAGTGGATTTTTACATAGCGATGCATTTTTGTGTGTGAAAAACAGTTGGAATATAATTGTAATTAAATGATTTATTCTACAATGCACAAATGTTTCATAGATATTACGTAGAATACAATTTACACAAAATATGCTGCAGTCTCCTAACCTGATGCATTCAAATCCCATATATTGGAACTTCAAAGATAAATTTTTCGAAACTAGGAAGTATGCACACTTTAATGAATTAAATACTGAGATAAACCTACATTATATCTCGTATGAACTGAATTCATCATCGCAACATTTTATCCATCATTATGATTTACATAAACAGCAACTAGACATATGACGCATGTGTACTTTAGCAAAGAAAATGGTTGAAGCGAACACGCAGAAACAGAACATTCATTAACCAACAGTGGGTGAAGATGTAACACTCCCAGTGAAGGCGTTATATACACAGATAATCATAGGAATTTATGGACTATCCATTCAATAAGGTTTGTTCAGTATCTGAACTCACAACCAGAATTCATCTTTATGTTTTTATTCTAATTTTATTTGGTATCTTTTTAATCTAATGTTTGGCTAGGCAACTGCGTCAAATCGCAATCTAGATATTATACACAAATGTAACTGATTTCTTCCGTTTGTCTGGTGATATTTTATTCAAAACACTGATGAAGAACAATGAACTTCCAAGAGCCACGCTAAACCATAAGGTCATCAAAAATATGTCCCCTTCGATTGATATTCGAGTAATATAAAGCAGACACCAAGACATGGCATCACCGTACGACGCCTTTTAGAGAAAATATAAAGCCTTTAAAAATATATCAGAATAACTCACTTTTTGACTGTTTGAAGTCATTAACTCAACCATACAATCTAAATCTTATGAGATTTCCATTTGCTAACAGAAACAGTTCGCTTGCCAAAGTTACTGCTTGAGTAGGACAGACAGTTAAACTTGTGGATTCCAGTTCGAAGATTTCAGACCTTTCCTATCTCAGTAGGTGAATTATCTTTGGACCTAGGTTATGTGGGTGAAAACGCTGCAGTTTTGCGTTCGAAACTGGGCAAAGTGGGAAGTGGTGGGCTGTTTTCAGTTGTGATATGTGTAAAGTGGATAAATTATGTAGCATTTTAACTTCGTTTTGCCCATGTCTTAGCCAATCAAATTATACATTTATCCTACCTTTTGGTCACATTTCCCAGGTGCACATGCACCTAACTCTAACAACATGGCAGCATAATCCTCGAAGTTACTTGTCTGAGATGGAAAAAAGTGTGCTGAATTTAAATGGTCAACTTCATGGATATAAAATCAAATGCAACTTTAAACCATAGCAGCCCAAGACGAAACTAGTGGTTTCGTCTTCATTAATCAAAGGTAACTTTAATTGATGAATGGATTGATGAGCTTGACAAATTTACAGATATTGTTCTAACCTGATTACGAGGACTCGTGTGATAAATTGGGCGTTTTCCTTGGCACATATACAAGGATATTATCTCATGTGAGAATTTTTAATAGCGCTTTACTTGTATGTAGACGCTTAGTTCAAATTATGCAATTCTACTCATTACGCATCTGACTGGTCGATGGAGGTCTTCACTGGGTTGTATCGTTTTGAGCTGCATTCGTTTAGTCACCGATCCAATATCCAATATCCTGATTACGAGCTAGTATAAACCAGTGATTTCTTTGAGCTCGCTTCTTGATTGTGAGGTAGAGGTTCCAGATCTTCGGTGAGCTTCTGCGTAGTAAGTCCCGCCACTCGACTGCTTTAGCTCTGGTAGACTCCAAGAGGAGTGGTGCGGGGATTGGTCAAGATGTGGTTTGTAGTATGCAGTATGTTAGGACTGTATTGCTGCCGTGAATGGAGTTTGACCAAACTCCCGTTGGTCATTCGGTGTAGTCATAAAAGCAGAATAATACTAATAATAGGTTGTAGTGTAGATAATATAGGTTGAGATAAGTGGAATAATAAAGGTGACCTAAGGAGAAGATAGAGTGAGAGAAGGCAAAATAGGTCGTGGGGATTTAGTTTGTACGCTTATTCATTGACAGTGTGGTTTTAATTTTTATGAGGATAAGCCATTGAAACACAAACCTTGCATTTCTGCATGATTGTCTAGCTTCCGCTTAAAAATCTCCAGAGATGGCGCTGTAGTCACGGCCGCCGGTAAAGCGTTCCAGAGACGGCAAATACTAAGCGAAAAGAAATGTGATCGCACTCGAGTCTTTGGTCTCTGGTGTGCTATCCTTAGCGGGTTACCTCGTGGAAGCCTATAATCACTTAATGGCAGGATGCTTTTATTTGGGTGGGCCTGGTCATTTAAGATCTGGTAGACGGTGATGAGGTCTCCCCTGTGCCTACGGTAACTAAGTGTGAAAAGACCTAATTTCTTTAGTCGTTCCTCATATGATTTGTTGCGGAGGCCGATCACCCATTTTGTCGCTCGTCTCTGGACACTTTCTAGAATGTTAGCATCCCTTTTGAGTAGCGGAGGTGCAATGATATTATGCACCTCAAGGTGTGGCCTCACATATGCCTTATATAACCTTAAGAACAGTTCGGGAGTGAGAGCTCCCAGCTGCCTATGCATGAAGTGTAAAGTTGCGTAGGCTTCGGCGACGTCCCTCGCGTAATTTCCACTGGTGTCTAGCTTTTCTGTTAGAATAAGACCTAGATCGCGCTCTGATGGAACACAACTCAAGTTCTGGCCACCAATGGTGTAATTTACACTCTGTAACCTGCCGGAATGAAGTTGCACTACTTTGCACTTCTTTAGGTTGAAAGGCATTCCGTTAGCCAGAGCCCAGTTTCCCAGAGTTAGCAGGTCAGCCTGCAATCTATCTGAGTCTTCCGATGAGTTTATTGCTCTCCAAATCTTTACGTCATCAGCGTAAAGAAGCGCAGAGCAGTTTAGCTGGGAAGGCAGGTCGTTGATAAAAATCAAAAACATCAATGGCCCTAGGATAGAACCCTGAGGAACCCCTGATGCCGAGGTGTGCCAGGATGATCAAAGGCGGTTGAATTTGGTGCAGAATTCTCTCTCGCCTAAGTAATCTTTCAGCCATGCGAGAAGTGCTCCAGAAACACCCGCCTTGCTTATTTTGTGAAGGAGCAGACCATAGTGAACTGTGTCGAATGCTTTCGCAAGGTCGAGAAAGATCACGTGGGCTGGTACCTTTTCGTCCCAGGATAGTGTCCAATAGTTCCAAGCTAGTAGAAGATTCGTCACGCAGGATCTTCCCCTTCTGAAACCGTGCTGTGCTTCGTGAAAAAGGTTAGTCCCATCGTAGTATTTTCTCATGTGGTCGTCAATGAGACTTTCCAATATTTTCGATATCACTGGAAGTAGAGCAACTAGTCTGTAACTAGTCGCATTCTGCCGGTCACCACTTTCTGAACACTGCTTCAGGACAGATGGTCTGATGTCATCACAACCTGAAGACTTTCCCAAAGCCAACTTTCTCAATTTTACAAGTACCATAGCCGGAGTAATTTGAAATGTACCCAGAAGGTTTTCGCGCGTTGGTTTTGCGATGTAATCTTGATGTTCTGTGGGGGTAATATCCCCGTTACTGTTTAGTTGCCTGTGAAAGGCTAGGCTGAATGTCTCTGCCATTTCAAGACTAGTAAGAGATTTCCCATCAGAACCCACTAGATTGCATGCTCCCTGGTTGGTCGGTTTTCTTTCGGACATAAACCTGTATAGGCTTTTGGGGTTCGCGACAAGCTTATTGGCGAGGTTTCCCTGAAATGTCCTTCTATCGCTCCGGACTCGTATGTTACATCGATTCCTGAGTTCAAGGTACACTTCATGTTCGGGTTGACTCTTCGATCGTCGCCACGCAAACCAGGCTTTTTGCTTCGCCTGCAGAAAGCGTTTTGTCCCCCTTTTTAGCCATGAACGTTGATTCCTAGCTTTTGGTGTGACTAATGGAACAATGTCTGAGACCGCCTGGTGAATGATCTCCTTTACCACTCTCCAGTGTTCTTCTACTGTTAGCTCTGTCCATTTTTTAGGCCGATTTGCTTCAGACAGAAGTCTTCGCATTTTGGTGTAGTTGGCTTTGTTATAACACAGATAGGGCTGTGTATTGTCCCACTGTAAGCGCTCGAGGAGGACTATGTCGAATACTATGACCGCGTGGTCACTACTACCTATAGGAGTCGTGATCTGAACGTTTTCCACTAGTAGCTGGTCACTAGTGAGCACGTAATCCAGTCTAGAAGACTTCCCATCAGGGCCCCATCTAGTATCCATCTTGACATTTTCAGTGAATCCAGCCTTCCTGATGGTATGCAGCAGATTTCGATCAAATCTATCATGGGCTTTTCCCGACATCAAGTTAAGAGATGGGGCATTGAAGTCACCAGCTATGACAATTTGATCATAACCCATGTCTTGAGTTGCTGAGATTGTATTTAGCAGTACCTGGTTGTGGTCTGCTCCACATGAAGGTGATCGATAAATGCTGCCCACTAGATATTTGCAGTACCCAACGGTGAAGTGGCACCATATGGAGTCAGGGAGCTCTGTGAGAGGAGGGTCCACCGCGTGAACATATCTGAGCTGTTTGTCGACGTATATGGCGACTCCACCTCCTTCTTTCAGGTCCCTATCTCGCCTGACTAGGACCATATCATTTATACTGACTTCGCTGTCTGCCACCGTAGGGGTTAGCCAGGTTTCCGTCAGTATTATGATTTTGGATTTCAGTTGTGATTGTAGGTGTCTAAGTTCAGCTATTTTGCCTCTTAGCCCTCTCACATTACTGTACAGGCAACTGGTAGTCAGTCTCACCACTTCCCCGTATTGGGGGGTAGTTGACTTGATATTGGCTATCGGTTGAGGAGTTATCCTACGAACTAGTTGGCCGATTCCCCAGGAACCGGCCTGTTGGCGTTTTTTTCTTCTAGTTCAGTCGGAGCACTCGGATGACACTGGCTATCATCGTCCGTGCTGCACCGCTGTAGTGTGACTAGGGGTTGAGGATTTTTTTTAACTATGCTTTGTTCTCTCCTTTGGGTGCGAGGCCGGCTCTCGCAGCAGCGAATGTGTTTGCTGACCTTGTCCTTGGTCTCGTACCATCTATGGAGAGCGGTAGTCAACTGGTCTTGGGAGCTGAACTTGACAGCTAACAGACGTGGCGTGTTAATTGACATAAGATGAGTGGGTCGAGGCAGTCTATAAATAGAGACAGCCCCTGAACTCCCAGAGCCATCTGGGATGCCAACCATCTCCATTGTTGTACATCATGACAATGCTTTTCGCAGGCGTTCCCAGTTACCAGTTCGGGAATGCCATGCACAACCATGGAGGCAGAAGGAATGAGCTCTGGCGACTCCCTCGCCATTTGTCTTTCCTTCCACGGCCTGTCTGGCTTAACACGTATGTTACAGGCCCTCCCTATAGAAAGGACTTGAGAAGCCAGTAACACTTTTTCAACATCCTCGGTAGAGCCCAATGTTACCCTCAGTGGGGATGGTTTGCCTTCAGGTGCAGCAGTGCCCCTATACAATCTGCATAGGTTTACTGGTTGGATGTCCAAACCCAGTGTGCTACACAAGATGGACCACTGTTCCTGATCAAATAGGGCCCTATCTTTCAGCAGACTACTACTACAGTCTGGTACATTAAAGAGGATTACACACTTTGATCTACTAACCGTGGGCTTGGGCTCGGTCCTCGCACATTTGTGATCCCCTTTAAGACCGTTTTGTTTTGCCTGGCGCGACCGGGTATTTTGGTGTGTCTCAGTGCTATGGCCAGTATTACTGGCAGACGATAGGGGTCTTTTTCCAGCGACGGAAACGCGTGGTGCTCCAGCCTCTGTGTCTGGAGCAGTTATGTCAAGAGTTACAAGTTTAACCGGTGAGGATTTTGGTATCCCCGGTTTACGTGCGTTTGTACTAATTTTCGGAAGGGGGGAAGTCGAACATTTCACATTTTTCCCTGATACTTTTGCGCCAACTTTAGTTTTCAGAGGACTACTCGAGGCTACATCAGAACGGCAACTCGGGCATATGTACCAGAACCATTGGCATGGGTTCTTACGCATAAAGTCATAATATGCTTTTGGTACCCCATTGTCGCATCTGCAATGCACCCATCGCTTGCAAAAGTTACATTCGAAAGCAGAGTCTGCTTGTTCGACAACAGAAGCGCAGACCTTGCAGTCGTCTGCCTTCTTGGGGAGCGTTCTCGTCGTCTTGCGACGTCTTGAACGTTTCTTTTTGGCCTTCCTATTTGTTTCATGGTCTACCATGGGGATGGGTGTTATACAGTTCTCACTTAGTGCAATTTTCCCACTCGGTTCTGTTAACCTAGTCGTGTTAACAGGGGTGGAGCCACACCCACTTGGCTGACTTTGCACAGCTTCACTGTAGGACTGTGGCGACATGGGTAATCTGTACGAGCAGGGAATATTTGCCCTGGTCTTCAAGACCGGTATGCGTGAGTCCATCAGCTTCACCTGTTCGCCTAGTTTGGCTGAAGCCTTGGTGAATACGAGTATGATGTCCCATTACTTATTTTAGGGTGAGAATCTATTGTCATTTTACTCCTAAATTAATACTGGTGATTAAAAATAAGAGACTGTTATTTTGTCCAATAGACTTACAGCAAGGGACAATAGAGAGCACAGAAGAGAAGGATAAAGTATTTAAGTAAAAGCCTTTGACCTTACCTGTAACTTTCAGGTTATTCGGCTTCACAGAAATCACGTAACAGACCCACAAGTCCTGTATATTTGAAAGAGTGAGGAGGATGTTGCTACAGAAGTAGCACCTGAAGCTTTGGCAGTAGTTCGAGACAGCGAGAAGTACCATACACAGGCTCGGTGAGGAAGAAATGGTTGAATACAATTCACCTGATAGGAAGATCAGGTTTCCCAAACGAATTATTCACAAAATTGGATATTTCCGGTTAGAGAGGAAAAAGCACGTCTTATTCCCAGCAAGCATTTTTTTCGGGCGCATTGCAGACTTTTCGGGGCAAAAACTTCAAGTAGATCTACTTTCGTGGGACAGTGTCCCGGAGTCTGCCCCAAAAAGTCTGCAATGCGCCCTAAGTCTTCCTCAGAAGTTGCAATGTGCCCAAATTCTGCCCCAAAAAGTCTGCAATTTGCCCAAGTCCACCCAAAAGTCTGCAGTGCGCCCGAAGTTTGCCCCAAAAAGTCCGCAATGCGCCCGAAAAAATGCTAGCTGGGTTCAAGGAGCGCGCATGAACACGCATGAACATCCCTATGATGTATGTGCGGATTTTCAGGTTCTTCAGTGAATTAGCGCAATACAAAGTTTATTTCAAGACATCTACAATTAAAAAACCTGACACGTCAATGTACTTCACATGACCTACACACTGCAAAATGAGCAAAACATCCAGGAAAACCTTTAAAATTCAATGGAAAACGAATTCACGAAAACATGTAACAAGCCGGCGCGGGAACTAATTATGATCTAGAAACTGACTGTAGCCTCTTTCGTGCGAGCGATAGCTCGTAAAACAGCACGTAACGCACCAATCGAAAAGCCTCCCTCGTTTTCAATATTGAATAAAATATAAAAGTCTCACTGCAGATCGTGTGAGAAGTAGACGGAATATCTTTAAAGTAAACCATTAGCAGTTTTACAAAATCAATGAAGCATATTTTTCTAGAAGGTTTGGTTTGTTTTTTCTGGCTTTCCATTCCGATATATATCCAATATCGATTTTACGAGCTATCATGAACCAATTTAATTTTTTGTGCTGGCTTCTTGATTATGCAGTAAAGGTTCCTGTTTTCTAGTAAACTTCTAGGTAGTTCGTCCTGCCTCCTAACTATCATAGCTTTGGTTGACCCTCAGAGTAGTGGTCCTGGGATTATTTATATATTGTTTGTAGAATGCAGTGGGTTAATACCACGTTGCTACAGTGAATAGAGCTGACCCTTTCATCAGTTAGTCTCCTGAAGTCATCGATAACAGAAGAGAGACAACAATCATGAAAGATAAAATAGTGTAGGCCATGAAAACTAAAACAGACAACTCATGGAATTTGAAGTTTATATATTTGTATATACATATAATATCAATAATAATTATAAGAAGTGTAAGTGTCGTAGTTGGAATAGTCGGCACAGAAAGTGTCCGCCACATCTCATTAACCGTTAATGCCCAGCTCTTGCTGCACTCGGGCTCACGCTGTTCCTTGAAGTTTCTCAGAAACGCTTAGTAATAACGGACGCAAAACCAAAACACCGATTGGCGACTCGAGGATTCTTTATTGTGACACCAACATATAAACACTGTTACAACTAAGGTCTGTGAACAAATATTACAATAATAAATCACAATATTACTTCTGACGGTTTTCTGCTGACTTCTTCCTGAACAGCGACCGATGAGACGATGACTTGTAATCCCACTCGTCAAGCAATGATCTGAAACAGAGAGCAAAGCGCACGTTAGCAGTGTGATCACACAAGTGTTGCGTGCTAGTAAGAACGAGGACTCAAGGTCAAGTATTATATTTACAACCAATCGCAATACAAGTAGATAAGAGGGAAGGGCACTCCTATTGGTCATCCGTTGCCTCGTCTTGGGTAACCAATCCCTGCATACTTCGCAGCCAACCTGAAAGTAGACAAGCATGGTTTGAACATTAGAAAACCGCCAAACTTACCATGCCTTACACTACCCCCTCTCCCATAGGAGCACTGTCCGCAGTGCTAGGTGACTGTTCCTGCGGGACTTGTCTGCTCTAAGGCCTGTTGTCGAAAAGGTTTTAGTCTATTGAAGTGTGTGACTAGACTATGAGAGGAATTCGGTTCCTGAATCCTACAGGTGCAGTCACTTAGTACCTCTACTACAGTGAATGGTCCTTCCCAGCGTTTATGGAATTTAAGAGCTTTCCCTTTAGGTGGTGCCTCCTTAAGTAGCATCACCTTGTCTCCTGGCTCGACTGGTGATCCATGTGCTTTCCTATCATAGTATTCTTTCTGGTACCTCTGGTTTGTTTGGAGTATATCCCTAGTCATCTGATGTACCTTGTTCAGGTTTCGTCGAAGTCTGATTACGTGTTCAGATGCAATCAGTGTATCCTCTCCTAGTGTGTTTGAAGTCAGATCGATTGGCAACCGGAGTTCTCTTCCAGTGACCATATAATGAGGCGTTTGACGCGTAGCTTTGTGAATGCTTGCTCTGTATGCCATTAAGCACTGTGAGAGTGATCGGTCCCATTCCCTGGGGTTGTTTTGATCTACAAATGCCTGCAAGAGGGCTTTAAGTGTCCGATTGGTGCGTTCAACCAAGCCATTTCCCTGTGGGTGGTACGCGGTAGTGCGTGTCTTCCGGATACCCATTATACGACAGAGTTCGCTGACAACGATACTTTCAAAGTTGGATCCTCGATCTGAATGCAGTTGAAGTGGTGCCCCCCAACGGCTGACCCAGTGGTCAAAAATTGACTCTGCGATGGTTACAGCATCAATCTGTGGGATCGCAATAGCCTCGCACCATTTGGTAAAATGGTCTACCATGACTAAAATATAGTTATTATTTCTGGAAGTTACTGGGAGAGGTCCAACCAAGTCTATTTGTACTAAGTCATTCGGATGGCCAGCTATAATGGGTTCTAAGGGTGCCTTATTATATTTGTGCGGAGCCTTAATAGTTTGGCATACCTCGCAGGAGTCACAGAAATCTATGATGTCTTTCCTCTGGTGAGGCCACCAATAACGTCTTTTAGCCGCTTCAATCATTTTCCCTGAGCCCGCGTGGCCTAACTGCTGGTGTAATGACAATAGTACTGTGGGTAGTGCCGACTGTGGAGCCACAACGCGACGAGTATAAGTGGGTCCATGTTGGTAGTAGAGGATGTCATCGACAATTTTCAGATTATCCCACAGAGACCATAAACACCGGGTTTCCCATCCAAGCTTACTTATTTCCTGGGTTGTCGGTCGTTCGCCTCCATTTCGAACACGTTCGTAAATCAAGGCCAGTTCAGGGTCTGAAGACTGAAGTTCAGGCCAACTATATGAAGTATGAGCCTCTAGTTGGAGCAGCGAAACTTGTGCTTCGGTGCATGATGGGCAGTCACCGTGATACCTAAGAGGTTTTCTTGACAACGCATCTGCATTTCCATGATTCTTACCCGGTCTATGCATGCATTCGAAGTCATACTCTTGTAGGTGTTCTTGCCATCTGGCAATCTGACCCTCAGCTTCTTTGAAGTTATGTAGCCAGCTAAGGGCTTTGTGATCAGTGCGTACAATGAAATGTCTACCGAGGAGATATGCCCTAAAGTGTTTAACAAAATTGACCAGTGCCAGCATTTCTTTCCGCGTGGTGCAGTAATTCTTCTCACTCTTGTTGAGTGCTCGACTTGCATAGGCTATCACCTTTTCTACTCCATCTGCGTCTTTTTGAGACAAAACTGCCCCGATACCAGAGTCGCTAGCATCTGTATCTAGGATGAATGGACCTGCCTGGTCAGAAACATTGGGATACGCTAGGATAGGGGGGCTACATAAACAGTTTTTTAGTCTTTCGAAGGCTTCCGTCGCTGATGCTGTCCAATTGTAGTCTTTCTTCTTAAGAATGTCGAATAGAGGAGCTGCAAGGAAAGAGAAGTTAAGTACAAAACGTCGATAATACGAGGCTAACCCTAAAAAACTATGTAACTCGGGGGCTGAGTTTGGGAGCGGCCAGTCTTTGACTTCCTGAACTTTTGCTGGATCACATTTAATGCCTTCGGCTGAAACAATGTGACCTAAGAAACACACTTCTTTCCTGAAGAATTGACATTTCGATGGGTTCAGTTTTAACCCAACGGTCTGCATCCGTTCTAATACTTCGGAAATATCACTTAAATGTTCGGTCAACGTCTTACTATGTATGATAACATCATCTAAATATACCAAACACTTACCTGGTATGCAATCACTCAAGACCGTTTGCATGAGGCGTTGGAATGTTGCTGGGGCATTGACTAACCCAAACGGCATTGTTTCAAACTCATACAGGCCTGCTTGTACAATGAATGCTGTCTTTTGCCTGTCATCTGGGTGTACTTCAACCTGCCAATATCCCGATGCCAGATCTAGAGTGGTAAACCAATTCGACCCCTCTAAGGCATCAAAAGTGTCGTCTATGCGTGGAAGGGGAAAGCAGTCTCGTCTAGTTAACAGGTTTAACTTACGATAATCTACACACAACCGGAGTGTCCCATTCGATTTCTTAACTAAAACTACCGGTGAAGCCCATGGAGATACGGATGGTTTGATGACATTTTTCTCTAACAGTTCATCAACTAACCTGTTAAGCTCCTTCTGGTAATGTGCAGGTACTCGCCGTGCAGGTTGTCTACAAGGTGGGGCGTTACCCGTTTCTATGTGATGTTGGACCAGTTTTGTTCTTCCCGGGCTTTTTCCATCCCAGTCAAAACAGTCCTCATATTTGTCTAACATTTTATTAAAGTTGGCAGCCGTTTCCGATGGTAGGGGTTCTATAGTCGTCAGCATTCGCTGTTTCTCACTCTTAGCATCTCCCTGCACGCCAAAAGTGCCGTGCTCTTTGTCGTTCCCTACAATAAATGGGATGGAACAGTCCTTCAGTATAAGAGTCCTATGACTACAATCTATTATTCCCGACAGCTTTTCCAGGAGGTCGACTCCCAAGATTACCTGCCACGGCACCCGGGTAGAAATGATGAAATTGTGTTGAAGTGACAGTGTTCCCAATTTAAGTGGCAGCAGGACCAGTCCCTGGGATTGCATGCAATCTCCATTGGCTGTCGTAAGCCGCAAATTGTGAGTCCCTATTGTTGGCCTAAACGTCTCTGGAACACATGAGGAATGTACGACAGAACAAGTTGCTCCTGAGTCAACTAACATAACACACTTTTTCCCGCCTATATAACCTACAACTTTCGGGGAGGAGGTGACACCGATTAGGTTTACAGTAGGCACACAATTCATATCGACATGTGACTCACCTGCATTGTGACCACAACTCCTAGCAAGCTTACCAAACCGCCTGCAGTAGTAGCAATCGTTTCTTGAAGTGGATTGCGACTGTGGGCGTCCTTTCCACGGTGGTGTAGGATTCTGTGCATGCTTTGTTGTTGTGTGCTGATATCCCATTGCGTTTACTTGTGGGCATGTGGTTCCTGGCTCTTCCAGGCTTTCCATTAGGCGTGCCCTAGCTTCCGCTTCTGTCATGGATGCTGGAGTGTGCAAGTTGAAGTCCTTCCTGTAACGGACGTCGACGCCCTGCAAGAACTTGGAATATATAGCGCTTTCAACCTCTGAATGTGTCTTGTCCTGCATAGCTTGACGCGCAAGCTTGCGGAGACGTAAGGTGAACTGGTTGATAGATTCACCTTGTCTCTGGTTGCACTCGCTGAATCTTTTCAGCGCTTCAATGGGAGGTATTGGTGGCACTATACGTGCTCTTAGAGTACTCAACAGGGTGGTCAAGGGCATATGCACGTAATCCAAACCAATTGTGTACATTTCCAAGGACCGTCCAACAGAATCGATGACGAATGCGTTC